TGCTTTGTACCCACTCATATAGACATTATCTAAAGAATAACATAGATATCACAAATTCCAGAACAGAGGATGAAAAAATTGAATGAAGAAGGAACCGTTCTATTTCCACTTCTTTATCGACAATCTCTTTGGCCATCAGCTGCTGAGTTGAAGATAATCCTGACGGAGTTACGAGCAACTGTCCTGATGACTGTGTCAACATTCGTCCACCTGCAAATGCTTTTGTTAAATTGAGTACCAATAAAATATGAGGGGAGACAACAACCGCATCAAATCACATCCTCCGAACAGTACAATCATTTTCAATGGTTCCTAAGGTTCTATTTGCATAACCTCAATCAGATTCATAAATTCTCTCCATCTAATGTGAATGTACTCAACTGAAGGCGATTTCCACCCTTGCAAGATTAAATACCGATGATGAACGTTCCTTTGCTATTGTTACACAATCATCTGCACTTAACGCTGGGTAATAGATCAGTCATAGGGATGATTAACGGCATTTCAAAGAGATGACCGCAGTTCAGTGGAAAAGTGCTCCAAACTTCACATTCAGCCGCAATATGAGGAACGTATTAATGTTTTACAGCTTCTGCATAATCATAATTAGAATCATGCATCTGAACAGATACGATTACAATCAATTCAACAGTAACTTTCAGAACCTTTCGTTCCAACGACCGGTATCATGAACGAGGCAGATGCCGCTGAAGTGGATGGTGACTGCATGCCACCAATCATCGCAGTTTCGAGTTCACGAACTCGCTGTTCGAGCACGGCTACTCGTATATCATCACCACCGGATTTCGATCGCGGAGTTCGATCGTCCACTGAAATTAAAATTTTCTTCATCCAAAATATTATTTAAAATCAATCAATTTGTCATTATTTCGTTGAGTACAGCAACTTATTTTCAGTTCATACAGCTTAACGTAGGCTAACGTAGGCAACTGCTTGCACAGACCAATAAAAATTACAGCGAGAAAAAGCACGGAAAAAAATATCGCTTTCAATCTCTCATTATCCACCATTCATGTCTGATTCATTCTGAACTCATATTGCGATTGTGAAGAGATGGAACACATTTTTATGAATAAATTGCAACAGAAAGAAATTACCGTAGAAAACTTGATCACCAGATGGACCAACCATCAATGGATTATCTCGACAATACGAACGTCGACTGTCCTGATACTGTGTTGAGGCGAACGTTGGCACTATAGCACCAGCACTTTGACGTCGTTGAACCATACTGTGATCACTGCAACAAAAAACACATCATTGTATATTTCTTGGAAAACACCCTTCCCTTCCGTGATAAGCAGAAGGGGATTCACGATCTAATGAGGAACTAGCGCCTAGAACAGAACCAACCTATAGCGAGACGAAATTGCTGAACAACAAACACTTTACAAAACAGGAATGGCGAGTGACGTAATATGAACTGTTATTAATCAGTAGTCATGCAGAGAATGAAAATAACAACAGAGAAAACGATCTTGAAAAAATTCTGCTTTACGAATGCAGAAGCTCTCGAACGACTAAAAACATCGAAGAATTCGAAAACGAACATGCTATTAACTCGACACGAGTCATCGTTACGTTCCTTGTGGTGTGAACGATAGTGCGGCTGTGGGGCAACCATCATCTGAAAATGCAACTTCTGATATGAATTCGATTTTGATTTGAAATTATATGCATCGTTTTGATGGGGAAACTGTTAACCTAGTAAATTTAAACACTCAAATGTGAATAATAACGATATGACGGAAAGAACTGAATTAATTCCAGACATTGAGNAAATTCGAGTTCAAATTGAGTATAACATCGCTGAAAATAACTTCCAACGATAGAGCAGCAATGATCTCAAGAATGCAACGATAAAAAACCTACATCCGGAGTACCGAAAAGCTTTTTGAGGAGAGTGAAGAGAGCACAAGAGCAATGACGACACATTGTGTTGATATAATAAGCTCACATAGTGCATGCTTTATTAATGTTTTTCATATGTACATCCATATATAACCATAAGGATTTGCGATAAAAGCAAATCCATCAAAAATCTCAACGAATCTAATGCATTCAATGACAACAAGAGTTCAGCTAAACTGAAAACAATCAATCCAAACAAATAAATCCCCGAAGATATCCAGCTAAATCTATCCTCATTCACTCAAATATCATAATCCGTCACTCATCTCAGTCACTCAAACCAAATCCTTCTTATCAAGCCAATTCAGCTGCTATATTTCTCGTATTTAGATCGTTAATAGTACAGTTCCGACGAATTCGGTGCCTCTGGCTACTTCAATAGACATAACTAACACTGACGAAAAATTTAGCGAGGGAAAAATTAGGAATCATCTAATCTTCTTAAATTGTCGATTGTGACCCCCAACAAACCACGTAACCCTCCAACAAGCCACGTCATTCGAGAGATTGTAGAAAATTAGGCGACGTTGAAGTTCTCTGTACAAAAAAAGCAAAANGAAACATCAAAGAAGCGATGCTCTAGTTCAGATGCAAAATCCTATAATACAAATATTTCCACAATCACAATAGAGGAATACATCAACTGCTAACCAATACCTCATCACAAAAAAAAACGCACATAAAAAGATTCGGGTGAATAATCACGAGAATCTCAATATGCAGAAATGTTCATCACAACAGATAAGAAGAGATTCAGATACTGCATAACACACCACAAATCTAAAAGAATAGTGCAGATTCTTGCTTAAATTCCTGCAATCCTAACAGACGAAAAACCAAATCAAATCGAGTTTTTTGCTAACTGAAGCTTGTAACAAGCCATCTCCAACTGTTGTAAGGCAGCTAACTAACAAACACTGCAAGGATAAGATAACAAAGATGCCAACGACTCAGTTGAATCTCATAAATGTTTTGAGTATTTTCAGTAAGAAAATACAATTTAAAAGAAAAAAAACCGAAAAAATGCAAACACCAACGAAAAATAATACTATTAGCTGATAAAGTGTCTTTAATTCACTTGTTTTCAGCTATAATCTGCAACCATTAATCAGCAAATAAATACCACTTAAATGCAACGCAAATAAATCATTAACAACTGACTGATAAAATCAACTATAACTATTCAAAGCTTTCCATCCAAACAAATTTCTTCATCGACCACGATAATAATACTGCGGAAACAAAGTATTTTCCATTCACTATCATTCCCTTAGTCACCGCAGCCCACAACATCTTGAAGCATAGAAACTAACGAAAGAACTCATCTTGAGCCATTTCAAAGGATATCGATGATGGAATAGCAAGTGTTTTTGCATCAGGATTTAGTGGTCTTGTAACGTCATTTCATGGTGTTGTTCACGAAAAAAATGTCAGTTCAAGAAGAGAATAGTGAACGCAAAGAAATGCTCACGTAACGCACATCAATCGAATAAACTGATCAATTGCTTAATGACATAGAACAATGGAAATGTAAAATTGAGCAGTTATTGAACCGCCATAAGATATGAAAAACGTTAATCTGATAGGGAAGAATAAAACGAACAAAATATCCATTAGTCAAATATCAACGAATATTGAGGAATAAAAATTGCTGAGCTGAGCTTAACTTGACTGAATCGTTTACTTATGACGCACTCGAATACTGGGATTAAACGGGATTAAAGGCGATCAAAAATGGCAAAAGACTCGAGGAATGATTAGGAGGGTACGAAGGGCAACTGCCGTGGTACTAGTCAAATTAAGACGAGGAGTCAAGAATGGTATTTGGTTGGCATCGCATCGTTGCTGTCTGCGAAATATTGCTCAAAGGATGTGCGACTAACAAGGATGTGATACGAAAAGTGTACACTGATCAGTAAGTCATCAGGAACAGTGAATCACATTTTGAAAATAAAAATGTTAATTGATTAACAAAAAAAAAATTCATTATGATGAATGAAACTCATCATAACGAATAAATTATATGACGGTCAGACATTATTCGANAACAACAAATTAAGAGTTGAAACAAGCAAAATGATAAGAAACTATAAAACCTTTTTTGACGTAGGGGTTGAAGTCATTTGAGGCACATCATCAATGGTCATTGCTGATGTTAGTTGAGCGTTAACTCCACTGCTTACTGTCCTTCTGAAAACGCAAAATTAAGAGCAAAATTGCAGGAAAACAATCACTCAAATAAGAGATATTCAAATAACAACCAAGCATATAAATTGAATTTATGAATGCTGGATGCAAAAAATCCATGAATCTTTGCAAAATCACATTATTTTGCAAATTTTCCGAAAAAAAATCGGCTATCTCTAGATTTGTGACAGGCGAGCGACTGTCTCTTTGTGATGCTGAATGAAATGATGAATGCTGACTACGAATGACTATGATCGACAAGAACTGGAGGTATGCAAAGAATCAAAGGGCCAAAAGGTCATCTGCGGCTCAAGATCCTCTTATGTGCATCATTAAGATGCATCCTTTGATTAATGTGCAAATCCTTTCGGTCATGTGTTGTTAAAAAGAAAAACGTCTAAACATTCACTCCTCCTCTCAACTCTCATCTTTCCAGACGATAACCTACCCAACTGAAAATCACGACCGAAGGGCTTTCGCATTATCGTCAGAAAAAAAACAACCGAGATCATAAGGAGATCAGAAACAGCGCTCATTATCGCCGTATTATTAGTGCAACGAAATCGATTTCAGTGTCTCAGCAACCAAAACTCAAATAAATTGCATTATATTTTTCACAAACTGCTCACAGTAACTGATCACAGCTAATTTGCGCAAAACCAAGACCTTTTTTAAAGATCAAGCTAGTGGTCGAGCATTCACCTCGCTATTCTCAACTCAATCTAACGCACACTTATACCCCACCAAGTACTTAATCTCCTACAAAACAATAGTGATAACAATCGCACGTCATCACAATTAATCATTTCCGTGCACAAATAATACATCACTGTTGAGCGATATTTGAATACTTTCAGTGTGATAATTTTTCACCGTCAACCTAAACATTGAATGATACAATGTGTCCACTCATACATCAATCGTGTCATTTGTCTTCCTTGTCATATGCATTTTCAATGGGCACAAACCGTTGCTCATCCATCCGTTCATGACAAAACGATGAATAACTGATGTTGCATGACTCATCCAAAAATAAACCCATCTAAATATATGCGTGATAACAAGCACAAGCCTAAAAGAAGAGGCCTGAAACGAGCTTGAAGAGGAGGATAAAGGCTGGAATAAGAGCAGATAATCAATAGAAACGACACAGAGAGGGATAAATAATTAGGCAAGAATCTATTATGCGCACTTATCTGCACTTCTTAGAATGTTGCAGTAGGCTCGCTTACGCTTACGCGATACTCGACATTTGCCACAGAAGATGTCATCGATGATCTTACACACGCAAGCATCCACACAAAAGCATTCAACTAATTAGGATTCGA